GGAGTGGGGCGGGGGGGGGAGCGAGTGGGGCGACGGGTGGTTACGACTAGGGTTTCGAGGGTTAAGGGGAGGGAGTGGGCCGGCCGGCTGGGCCGGTGGAGGCCAGCTGGGCCACTTGGCCCAACAGGGGGGGGGGGGCTTTTCTCTTTTGTTTGTTTTTCTTCTTTTTGGTCTGATTTGTATTTTCTTTTCTTTTATTTCCTTTTCTATTTTATTTAGTTTTAAAGCACTTAGGCACTTTGTAAAATTATGTTTTCTTCACTATAATTACCATAGCAATATTTGACACACACCGAACATTTTAGTTTTAATATTTAAAAACTTTTATTGTTTGCTTAATTTTGAATTTGAATTCGAACCGTTTCGAACTAACGCGAGATTAGCAACAGTAATGAAGGTGACGTGGCATCATTAGCAGAGGTTCACTGTAGCCTAATTATCCGGGCATCACAACTCCGATCCACGGCAAAAAAAAAACTACACAGTTTGTAGAGAGCATCAATAGACCGCCGCAACAAGGCTCGTTCAATTACAAACTTGTTGCGAATCATCCACAAATGTCCATATGAGAACCTCAATCCCAAGCCACCCAATGTGGCGGGAACCCACAGTGGAAGCTAGTAATTCATCGTAAAGATCGGGGAAGTTTGTGCCACAACTTCCAAAGCATTTTAAAGTACTGATTTTGTTTTTGCCACGACTTCTAAGAATGCCATTCCATGATGAAACCTTGCAAGCACTTAAATTTTTTCAAAGTTTTGCTACAAGAAAATTTCATATTTTTTCTGTTTTTATGGAATTTACTATTCACCCAAGCTCGTTTGAGCTCGAGCTAAGAAACATCGCACCCAACTTGGATAGACTATTCGTTTGATGGTTCTCTTCAGATTATCATGTGCGGGTGATAGGTGGTGAGACTTTGTTCTAGCATGGCTTTGCCATGGATCGAGGGGTGGGATACTTTGGCTTTGTGCACCAAAGCTACTGAAGATCACAACAAGGACAAATAAAACACAACCATGAAAGAGCGACATGCTATCAATTTCCATCCATAAGTGGTTTAGCTCGGTAACTGTGTTGAACTTCTAGAGTTGTTTGATTTACGAGGCGCTACACGTCCACCGGCTGATCTTTTTAAAAGACCGACCGGGTCACGAGCCATCGGATTTGGTGCCATCAAGCGGACAAGCGCCCTTCACCATCACAACAAAGGTGATGTTGCAGAAACCTTGTAACATAGATGATGTTATAAAAACCTTTGCAATAGAGGTGATGTGGTAAGAACGTCATTGCCTGTTTAGTACCACTTTGCAACATAGCTGATGATGCAGAAATCTTTCTTTGCAACAAGATGATGTTGCAAAAAATCCACCGCCGTTTGACGGAACCTAAACCTAAGCTAGATATCCTGAAACGAGGGTAACAGAGACACATGGATTTTACCCAGGTTCAAGCTCTTCGAGAAGATAATACCCAATGTCCTGCTTTAGTTTATTGTGTTTGAGTGAGTACATAGTACATATATCTATCAAGAGATTGTAAATATCTAACTCGTGGTTTCTATGAGCAAGGTTTATATAGGTACCAGGGGTACTGGGGTATAAGATCCTAGTCAGTGACGTACAGGGAGGCAAAGTCCTCCATGGCTCCAACATCTTGTCGTGTACACCCAGTCTTCTGGAACCTTTTGATTATACACTATGGGACGCCCGATGTGGCCTAGGTCGGAACTGACAAGGGCCCCTTAGCTGGTACACCATCACTGTTGAGTAGCATCATCGTTTGCCGCCGCTATTGCTAAAGCTCGTATACGGTGCCGCCGTTGAGCACCACCATCATTCGTCGCCACTATTGCAAAAAGATTCATATACGACGGGCATCGCCACTCGGGATCCCAACAATGAGGACGAAGGGGCGACGGCTCGGGGTCTCAAGGTCCCTCGGCGTCAGAGACGAACGCTTGACACGAGCGGCGCCGGGGTTGCTGACGATGGTAGCAGAGGCCCGCGAGGCCAACGTCGTTGGGTGGAGAAGAAGCACGACATGTGAGGTGCTCGCTGGTCGGCGAGTGGTGGCAACACGCGCCCTCCCACACGAGCTTGGACAGAGTGGGCTCCATGGTCGCCAACCTGCAGAGGGGGCTGTGAGGTTAGAGGGAGAGAGAGGAGAAGAGGAAGATGAGGAGAACAAGAGGAGGAGGCGGGGCACGGGGTCTCACCGGCGAGCGGCGACATAGAGCACGGGGCGGCGACTCAATGTTTGCAACAGACCTCTTGTTGTGGTTGAACGGATTTCAACACGGGCCAAGTTACAATAGGGTGAAGATGGCTACGAGTTGTTTGATAAAAAACAAATCTAACGGGCGTAGAGGCGGTTGATGCGCGCAGCTTCACCTGTCGAGTGAACGCTAGCATTTTCCCTTGTTTTCTTTTTGGCATTGAACGTTGAACGTTTACCTTTTTCATCCTATTGATTTAGTGAAAGCGGCACATAGAACACAAATGATGTTTGCTCGATGAGTTTGGCCCACAAAGCCCACCCGAGAGGTTAAAAACCCAAACTTTATAGCCTCCCAAAACTCATAGGCTAATTAAGTCTCGTTTTTTATTTGTATTGCACGGCAAGATCCTTGTGATGATTATTTGTGCTCAACGAGATTGTCCGTATAATCTAGTTAGATTAGCTTATTAGATCCCATAGCTTCATATCGACGCCCCTTTTTACCCTTTTTTGTTTTGCAAATAACGGATGAAAACAACTCTCTCACTTTAGGCACATTCCAAATTATTACAATGTCATACAAGCCTCAAGGAGGTAAAAAGTGAAAGCAACAAACTACCAACCTCGATGACATTCATAATAGTATTACTTATGGACTAGGAATGAACCACGGAAGACTTGTCATTTATCTTATCAACGTGACGCCCTGTGTGGTCTAAAGGAAAGCACACACTCATCTTTGAAGACTTTTATCAAGTTATTTTTCAACTTTTCAAAATTCGTGGCTTAATTGTGAGGAAATAGCTTTCCTGGTTAAGGAGTGTGATGTCACGAGCAACACAGTGAGTAGGTATGTTTTGGGTTTTCTTACAAGCAGTTGTATCACATCGTGACTACTTCCGGTTTCCTTAATCCTCAAATCAAATCAAAAGAAAAAGAAAAGAAAATAAAAAGGGAAAAGGAAAAGGAAACCTCGTGCTTGCCTTGCCCCTAAATTCGGCCCTTCGTCCCACCCCTTTGCCCAGCCAGCCGCCCGAGCCCCTCAGGCGTTGCTCCGCCCCGACCGCCCCCACCAATCCCCATCGTCGCAACGCTATCCACACCCTTCGCCCCGCCCCTCCCCCTCCTCCCCCGCCCCTCCGCCCGCCGCCGCCGTCCGTCCAGGCGAGATCTTACAATGGAGCTCTCCCTCGTCTCCGCGAGGCCCTTGCCCCGCCCCGCCGCCTCCCCGCTCCTCTTCGCCCCGCTCAAACCATTGCCCCTCCTCCGCTTCCCGCCACGGAAGCGCACCGCCTTCGCCCGCCTCCGAAGCCGGCGGTCTCGCCGTGTGGCGGCCTCGGGGGAGGGGGAGGGCGACGCCGCGGACCGGGACGAGGAGGTGTTCGGCAGCCGGAGTGGGCAGGTGTTCGGAGGGCGGAGGGAGCTCACCGGCGTGCAGCCGCTCGTGGAGGCGCTGCCGCCGGTGGCACGGACGGCGGCGGAGCTCGCGGTCTCCGCCGCGGCGTTGGCGGCGGGCTACGGCATCGGGCTCCGCGCCGGCGGCGGCAACCGGGCCGCGGCGTTCGCGGGCGCGGCCGTGCTTGGTGGGGCCAGCGTCGCGGCTGCCGTCGCGGTGAACTCTGTAGTGCCGGAGGTCGCCGCTGTCGGATTGCACAACTACGTCGCCGGCCATGACGACCCCACCAAGCTGGAGGCCAGCGAGGTGGAGGCCATCGCGAACAAGTGAGTTTGGATTACCTCCGTGTAGCTGCTGCCTTCGTTGTATGCTTGCGTCGTTTATATCAGCTATATAAGTATGTTTTTTTTCTGAAATACTCCCTCCATAAAGAAATATAAGAGCGCTTAGATCACTAAAGTAGATTATACCAGCTATTTGATCATCTCAACGGTTTGTTGTGCTCGTTTTGTCTTGTATCAAATTTAGGCTTGCAATGTAGTTTGTGCAAATCCATTTACTTTTGAAACTCCAAACTTGTTAGGGGTACTACCAGCGTTGTGTTGTATGCTTTTTCTGTAGAAGATGAAATATATAATTGGGGCTATCGTTAAATGTACACGGAGGAGACAAATGATTTTTTTAGGGTGATGTGAACTTGCAAGGAAGTATTGAATGCATTGCTCTTTCTGCATTATCTTATCCTTCTCTTATTTATTTTTAGATATGGAGTTAGTACACAAGATGCAGCCTTCAAAACAGAGCTCTGTGACTTGTATGGCAGGTAAACCTCTTGATACACGTGATGTTCAGTTGTTTTCCATGATGATTGTGAAAACATATATGCACAGAACGACCAGATAAATACTGGATTCTATGCAATCTTACTCTTGGAGGGGAGTATTTGTACTGCCATATTTTCTAGTACATGGCTACACCTTTCTTAGCAATCACCCCCTCCTGTCCCAAAAAGGGTCCACTTCTGACAATTTATAAACAACAGCATGCAATATTGAAGTTTGTACCATAATATTTCCGTAAATGGTACGGATCTATTATAATGGTGGAAGTACTGTGAATGTTGATGCCTATTCACTCATATTATTTTCATATGGCAAATCTACCAATTTATACATTGGTAGGCTCGCACATATGCACATGAGCACGATTCAACTCAAAAATTTCGTACGATTCTTTGGTATTGCATTCAGTTAACTCAGTTCTTGAATATACTACTCCCTCTGTTTCAAATTCTTGTCGTGGTTTTAGTTCAAATTTGAACTAAAACCACAACAAGAATTATGGAACGGAGGGAGTACCTTTTTGATAAGCACTTCTAAATTCACATTGGTGTTGAGCATTTACCGTCTTTAGAAATCGAACACTATCCACATCGTACCAATTTTGCAATGTGATATTTGAGCTTCACGCTCCTGAACATTTGTTATTCGCTCATTCTTTCTCCTATCTTCTTTTTTTCCTGCAGCTTTCTTTACTCGGTACTTCCTCCAGGAGATGAAGATCTCAAAGGTGATGAAGTTGAGGTCATTGCAAAATTTAAAAGAGGCCTTGGACTTGATGATGTAGATGCTGCAAATATGCACATGGAGGTATTCCCTCGTGATCCAAGCCTTTTTTTTTGTTACATCTTGGTATCCCGTATTGTTTTCAGATGTTTGTATTATCTTTAGTCACTGTTTTCACAATTGCACTATTTTCCCTCTGCCTGCTTATGCCTTCCACTTTGCCCATTTCAATAGATTGGTAGACGCTTATACAGAGAGAGGTTGGAAACAAGGGACCGTGATGCTGACATTGAACAGCGGCGGGTAATTGTTTCTGCTTTGAAGTAAATACATGGATACTTAAAACTGTCTGTAGTTCCTAACAGTAACCATGGAAATATTTCTTAGGCATTTCAAAAGCTGATATATGTGTCAAATCTTGTCTTTGGAGACGCATCAGCCTTCCTACTTCCATGGAAACGTCTTTTCGGCATCACTGATTCTCAGGTACATTAATATACATTGTTTTACCTTTGTGCATGGCATCTCTCTGTTTATGATTTCATGGTATCTTTCCGGGATCACTGATTCACAGGTACATTAGTATACATTGTTTTACCTTTGTGCATGCCATTTCTCTGTTTGTGATTTCATCTCATGGAGAAAGCAGAACGTTACCTCCATTATGTTGTTTGTTGTTTTTGCTAAACTTTGTAGTGTAATTGCACCCATTTTCTAACTACGTTGTTACTGTAAGAGACCTCCTGAAGCTAGTGTTTCACCCTTCATAATGCAATAGGTGATCTTTGCATGCTCATTTTGTCGTGGCCAATTTTAATATCTATGTATGTACTATGATTACAAATTTGTTGCCCTTATTGGTCGTGCATATCAGTCTGCGAGACATACATGATCTACTGGTGTGAAAATTCTCCCTGCAAAATAATGTATGCAATGTAATGTGATGCACTATGACACATGCATTGTTACTTGTACCAAAAATAGACAGACTGACTGTACATGTTTAGTGCCTCTGTTTCTTGACAAGCATGGTCAACCTTATAAAGTTTGAGTAGCATATGGCTATAAAAATTGTTTCAGGTTGAATGTAGTAGTTGAAAGGGAAGATCTTTTGTGCTGATAAAGATGAAGACGTAGATTGCTTTAACATGTACAGATCACACATTCACACAAGTCAAATGTTTTTTTCTCATAGAGCATGTCTTTTTGAAATGCTTGCTTATCTCTTGTTACTTTGGTGCATGGTTTCTGTGTGTCTCTGTCTTATTTGACATCATGGCTGTTTTGTTACATTTTCATAATCTTTTGGCAGATCGACATTGCTATGCGGGACAATGCCAAAAATTTGTACGCGATACAGCTCAAGTCTATTGGTAGAGGTACCGCTGAAATATTATTTGTAGGCATTAGTTCCATTCTTAGGTCATATCGTGCTTACAAGGTTTGTCATTCAAGTAGATTAAATTTAGAGCAGGGTAGATAGCAAGGATATCCCCTGTATACTAATTACTTGTTGCATTCCATGAATGTTCTCACCTGGACATATTCTGTTTCGCTAGGTCTGGACATAGGCACTCTCATTGAAGTAAGGAGAGCCCAACTTGCGTGTAAACTTTCTGATGAGGTAATCCTTCTCTCTGGAGATTTACTGCTGGGTTGCTTTAGCATCATTTCATCAGTTCTTGGGGCATCTTGTCACCTATATCCAAATAGCATAAATCTAAGGATAGTATCTTGGACGCCATATACAGGTTTCTATTTGATTGTTGACATCAATCTAAGTATGGCAAGACATGGCAGACGACGTCAATCTAAGCATATTCTATTGTAACATGTGCTGATATTTATATTTTGGCAGATTGCTGCTGACATGTTCAGGGAACATGCGAAGAAGTTGATTCAAGAAAACATTTCATCAGCTTTAGACATCTTGAAGTCGCGTAACAAAGCCACGTATGAAGCCTCTTGCGAACCTGCTGGCTGATTTCATTATTTGACAATTTCCATGAAAAACATAAATGTATTAACTGCTAATCTGATGGTTTTAAGAAAAGGGAACATATATTTTTGTTAAATCCGACATAGGTATTTTGTACATTAGAATTTCCTCTGATATTATATTTATGGAAAGTACTTCATAACTAGCAATGCTAAAATTTATTTCTCCTCCCTCCACAACAAGAGAGGCTTTCCACCTCATGAGCAAGTGATGTTATCAGTCTTTGCTGGCTTGTTCGAGTTGCAAGCTTTCAGTATTATTTTAATATCATGAAGAATAACATATAAACTCAACCTCCAGTTAAAAATCTTAGCTGTATTATTGTACGCACCATGCTGTTTATAAGGGAGACTAGAGTATGTTTGGTGGATTGATCTGCTTTAATATTAATTAGCAAATAATATTTTTCTACTATTACGAAAACTGAGCTATCTGCACTCCCAAGGAAGTTTGAGAAATACTTTTCCAAGAAGCCCCATTTGTTTTCGTTGTTCAGTTATTAGCAAATACATGTATCTCTGTCAAGAAGTGTAAACCCTCTGAATCTTGCTATGCTTAATTTTTTGGATCTTATCAATACAGAATGCTCAAATTTTTACCTCAGGACTAAACCATATTGTCACTGCCTGCAGGAATAGCCCAACACAGGTTATTGAAGAAGTAAAGTGTGTCCTTGCATTTAATAGCCTGCTAACTGTACTGAGCAAGCACCCTCAAGGCGATCGATTTGCACGTGGGCTTGGACCTATTTCATTAGGTAAGTTACTGAAGATTTTTGAATTCATATGTTGATGAGGTGGGTTGTCCTTATGAATTCTTATTGGTTCTTCTGCATGGATTGCATAGCGGGAGAGCTTGATCATGATAGGAGGGCTGGTGATCTAAAGACACTCTATAGGGCCTATGCAACAGATGTACTTTCAGATGGACCTGTTGATAATGAGAAGGTGATCACATGTTATTCACATTTTGTTTAGTTAGCTGATGCTCCATATCAGATGACAAGCTAAAATAAGTAATCAATAATTCCGTAGGTTTCTTTTGAAATGGTTAACATAGATACCAATTATTGTGAAGCATATTGATTTAAGTAGACCAGTGCAAGTTTGGAAGGTTGTAGGATTTGGAAAATACAGTCTGGATTTTTTGTGGACAAAGTTAGTCTATTGACCTATTATTGTGAAGCATATTAATTTAAGTAGAGCAGTGCAAGTTTGCAAGGCTGTAGTATTTGGAAAATACAGTCTGGACTTTGTGTGGACGAATTTAGTTAGTTAGTCTATTGACATATTTGGATCACAGACAACACAAGAGTAGTCTGAAAGTGTTTGCACCCGGAATGAACAGTAACTCCACGCCCATCTATGTCACACATCTTCTGTTTTGTAGTTCACATCATGTTAGATGCTGAACTAAACAAACTCAAGCGTACCTGTCACTGTTGTTAAGGAATAACCTGTGTGGCCTAGGGTTACATATCAGTAACACATCAATAGTATTTTCTGGTTCGCATGAATTTAATACCAAGCCCTTGATCAGACCAGCAATTTTTGACAAAAGAGAGAACATATACTCTGATTCAACTAGAGTTTATGCCGATTCATGCCAACAAATTAATGCACCTTATATAAAGGAACAGAGGGAGTAACTGGGAACAGTCACGATATATAGATAATAACTAGTACTTTGATTTGTTGTCATTGTTCTGTAAAGGTTGCTTTAATCAAGATAAAATAATTTGAGAAGTACATAACCTAGCAATTGTATCACATCGGGCTGACAATTTTATTTTTTCAACATGAACTGTCTTATATTTTTGCCCATGCTCTCTGACCATTGAGTCTAAAAACATATGGTAGCATCTTAACAAGATAAATCTTTACAACAACAACAATAACTAAGCCTTTAACAAGATAAATCTTTCTGTGATTAAAAATTCCAGCTTACTCCTTTGAATGATCTGAGAAATATATTTGGACTGGGGAAGCGTGAAGCAGAAGCAATCATCTCAGATGTCAAATCTCAAGCATACAGAAAGAGACTTGCAAAATCCTTTAACACTGATTTGGCTGCAGCTCCTAGCAAAGCATCGTTCCTCCAAAATCTGTGCGAAGAGCTACAGTTTGATCCCGAACTTGCTAGCAAGATGCATGAAGGTACCACGTTGTCACTTGCTTCTAGTATTACAGCGTAGCTCTATATTTGCTACAGTTTAATCCTTCTCTTGCTAGCAATATGCGTACCATTCTGGAAAATCACGTGTCAAATTGAGAATCTGGTTTAACTAGGTTCTATACGGTATCCTATATCCTTTTGCTGCATCAGTACACACAATTATTCATTATACAATCATCAGGCATTAGCTGTGGGCTGATACTGCAGCTTATTATTTTAGTTGCCAACATTTTACATTGACTATAGGAAGTAATATGCAGCAAGGGAACTGACTGCATTTACTTAATCTTGTTATACATTGCTGTTCTTGTGTTGTACGAGCAGTTGTGGATTTTTACTACTCCCTCCGATCCATAATAAGTTTCATGGTTTTAGTTCAAATTTAAACCAAAACCACGACACTTATTATGGATCGGAGGGAGTACGAAAGAAAGACAAATATGATATGGCTAAAATTACTGCCTTTGTATTTATGATTATCAGCGCGTATTAATGCCGCTTCATACTTCAGACATTTACAGACAGAAGCTTCAGCAGTTTGTAGCTGACGGAGAGCTGAGCAAGGATGAAACAGAAGCTTTGACGGCATTCCAAGTGCGTCTCTGCATTCCTCAAGAAACTGTTGATGCTGCTCATACTGGCATCTGCGGTCAATTGTTTGAAAAGGTGATGTATTTTATTGTGCCTTTCATTAACACACTGCATAATTTTAGGTTAAATTCCATATCTGCATTAGTTCAGCAAAGTTGATGGCCTGTTCTGTGTAAATGTATTCTTACCATTTTTAGGACATTGCAGGTTGTCAAGGAAGCAATTTTGTCAGTTGATGGATACAACGCTGATAGACGAGAGGCAGTTAGGAAAGCAGCACAGAGTCTAAACTTGAAAAAGGAGGCTGCTATGACCATCTTTAGTAAAGCAGTATGCCTCTTACCTAAAAAATTAGGCTATATAGATTGGCCTATATTCTTCTGTAGAAACTACTACTATGTATATCTTTTGGTATATTCCAACTGCAGATCCAATTAATTTTCTGTATTGCCAAATTCAATGGCAGGTACGGAAATTATTCCTGAACTACATTCAGAAAGCAAAAGCAGCTGGGAATCGCATTGAACAGGCAAAAGAGTTGAAGAAGTTAATTTCCTTCAACACAGTTGTTGTAAGTGAGCTTCTGGCTGACATTAAAGGGGAGCTAACAACTGCTGAACCTGCAACATCAAGTGCGACCTCAGAATCTGAAACGACTGAATCTGAGGGAGAGGATGAGGACTATGAATGGGAATCACTAGAAACATTGAAGAAGACAAGGCCTGATAAAGAGCTAAAAGAAAAGCTGGGCAAGTCAAGTCAGAAAGAGATAACCCTCAAGGATGATCTTCCATTGAGAGATAGAGCTGAGCTGTATCAAACATATTTGATGTTCTGTATCACTGGTGAGACTACTAATGTTTCATTCGGGACAGCAATCTCCTCGAAGAAAGACGATTCAGAGTATTTAATGCTAAAGCAATTGGGACGCATACTTGGTTTAACCGCCAAAGAAGCTCAAGATGTCCACATTAAGCTGGCAGAAAAAGCATTTGTGCAACAGGCTGAAGTGGTTCTAGCTGATGGGAAGTTGACAGAATCCAAGGCTGACCAGCTTGCAACGATACAAACGCAGGTTGGTTTGCCATCTGAGCATGCACAGAAAATCATTAAGAGCATCACAACGACAAAGTTGTCTAGTGCAATTGAAGCATCTATATCGCGAGGACAGATTGGTATACAGCAGGTCCGAGGATTGAAAGACGCAAATTTCGAGCTGGACAGCTTGATTTCAGAACCGTTGCGAGAAACCATTTACAAAAAGTGTGCTGAGGAGATATTCTCATCAGGCACAGGTGAATTTGATGAAGAGGAAGTGTATGTAAAGATGCCAGCTGATCTTATCATAAGTGCTGAGAAGGCCAGGTCGATTGTTCAGGACATTGCGAAGGTTAGGTTGGAGAACGCCCTTGTCCAGGCTGTTGCTTTGCTTCGGCAGAAGAAGAGAGATGGTGTGGTACGTACCGTGTGCCCCTTGTCTGCTTGTTTTGTTAAATTTACATAATTGCTCCTAGAGATATAGGTATAATAACATCTGCTAGGTTATACTCCTGCAGATTTCTTGAAGTTTGTGGTGAAATTTTTCATTGCTTTATATCTGATGCAGATTTCATCACTGAACGACCTGCTCGCATGTGATGCTGCCGTGCCTGCTTCGAAGCCTTTGTCATGGCCCACTCCACGAGAGCTTGACGACCTGTACTGTGTGTACATGAAGAGCATTCCGAAGCAGGATAAGTTGTCAAGGTTGCAGTATTTACTCGACATCAGTGCCGAGAAGGCTGAGGACCTTCGGGATGCGGCGACGGCAGGCACGTTGCCTCAAACAGGCCAAGAGGAAGAAGAGTTGGCGTTCTAGAGGGGATGATGATGGGAAGAGGCACTTTTTTGTTAGGTAGCCAGCAGAGTCGAGCTCCTGCCAGACGCGGTGCTGTGGCGCCAATAGCTGCTGTTGTAGCTAGGCATGGTTTTGAGAAGCAACGCATAATCCTGACATGCATAAGTATTTTGTATAGACAGATTTGACACCACAGGGTGACAGTTTTCTGCTGCATTCTTTCAAACCATACTGAAATCATTTTCTGTTTCTCCTTTGCGCTTTTGGCCTCTTGGTCATGTACCAGAGTCACTGCAGGTCCTTTTGTAATAAATGTGGTTTGTTGTGTAAGGCTGGTCGTAACGATAGTATCATAAACAGTATTATGTATGCCAACTAGATTTTTTTTATGATGTGGCACGCAATGAAATGGAGATAGAGAGAATATGTATCATGCATGCCAATTATACTTTTTTGATGGCACATAATTAAATGGGGAAAGAGAGAAAGTGATATCATATTATGATTCCACATCATAGTAAATGTTGTACTACTTTATGTCATACATGCAATTAATAAAGTAACATAAGATGTACTAACTTACGATATTATGCATTATGGGAGTAGTATCATACATTAGTATAATATACATGATATTAGTATATCATACTCCCCGTTACCGACAGCTAACTTGTATCATATGCCAAGCTTCTTGCAAAATCAACTAAATTTTTTTACCATGTGGCACCAAATCCTTCGCTCCTAAAATTTGAATACCATCATTTTTTTGTGAGAATCAACTCAAGTTTTGCCCTTTTTTTACATTACACCATATTTTGCCTTTTTGTCTGTCAATTCGTGAATTGAATTCAGACCTTAGATTTTATGACATGGTATAGATGTTCATCTCTAGTCACAGCTTCTAAATGTGTTTTTGGTTGCCTGGTGAACTGGTACATCTCAAAGGTGCTAGTGCCTAAG